CCACAAAAAACGGCTAGTTCCTCTCTGCCATGAGATCTGATCTCAGATCCATGGCCCAGAAGAAAACCGGCCACTTCCTTTTGGCCTTTTCTCTCATTTTCTGCTTTATAATTCAGATTTTATTGAGATATGGCCCCAAGGGTCATATCTCTTCAATCCGGATTGCCCTCCCTCATTCTAGGAGGGATGAAATCACTGTTAGGACCTGCCAGTCCCTACTGTGCAGGTCCTAATAGGCCGATACACTCTCCTCCACTCTTTTCTCCCTTTTTGTCTCATTCTCCGTCCTTTTTCTCTCATTTTTCTTTCTTTTTCTTTTATTTCTGTTGTGACAAGTGTCAAATTGTTGTGCACCCTCTTTCTAGGCCCTAGGGCCTCATTCAAGGCCAGGTTCATGGCCGTTACTTGGTCGTTACATCTCGGAAACCAATAATGGCACCCCCATGCTCCTAGGGGGCTCCATTTTGCTCCCGTTTGCCCAATTTTGAGCCCTTTCTGCTTCGATTTTCTAAGAGCAGCCTTTTTCTCATGTCGAGCCTCTCAAGGCTTTATTTCCTTATGCTTAGCTAGTGCGAGATATCCCGGACTGCTGGGCAGCCTTTCCAACATCCCGTTTTTACATTTCTTTCTCTCGTGGCTCTCCCGCTTGCTCCCACTAGTGTTTGCACTAGTGGTGTTAATATTTTCCACCGTCTAGATCCTCGATCTCGACGGTGCCGTTTGCTTGCACAATTATTCCTTGTGTTCGCTCATGGTTCCCTTGGGACATCCCAAGTCCCCGCCATTTTCCTTCATGCTAGCTCCGTGTCCCGTTTTTCGATTTTTATTATTTGGACCAGTTGGTCCCCGACAACAGTTCGGATGGCATCCCATTTTTATTTTTTTGGGGCCCATTGCCCTTGGTGGTCCCATCATTTCTACATGTCTGCTGATTTTTTCTAGGCCGTGAGATCTCATCTCACGGTTGCCGTTTACCGTTTTTACTTGTCGCCTTGCCGAAATTGCTCCTTTCTAGCCTTCCGGGCTTGCCGTAGCCCATTTCCCCTTGGCCTTGGCATCCCCATGCAGTCCGTAATTTCTCGGACTGCAGTCATGGCTGTTTTTCTATACCCACAACCCCACAACTTGCCCCATGTTAAAAGAAAATGAAGCGTTAAATTGTCTAGTGCATCCGACTCAATATTGGCTCCGGATGCATCTAGAATATGTGTTTTCTCTCCCCCATGCAGTCCGTTGCAACTCGGAYTGCAATGGGGTCAATTCCTTAGCCCYMATGCYCCACAATTAGCCCTTACTCATAGAAAAAGAAACGGTCAATTCTCAAGTGCATCCGACCTTGATTTTGGCTCCGGATGCACCTAAAACGTGTGTTTCTCCTCATGCATGTATTCCGTTTTATTCCGGTTGCAAGAGGCCTTGATTTTYTTTGATTTTCTCTGCAAAAATCAAAGAAAATCAAAGTTCTTTATAACCGTCATATTCCAGAATGAATCTGGTCACGGATGAATCTCCCCATGTGACCGTTTTTTACCGTTAAGGCATTTTTCTCTTTTCTTTTCTTTTCTTTTCTCCTCCTTTCTTGGATAGTAGGGACCTGCCAGTCCCTACCTATGGCAGTCCCTACTTACGGCCAACTCACTCACTCCCTCTCACTCTTTTTGTCTTATTCTCCCCCATTTTCTTTTCTTTTCTTTCTTTTTTCTAGCATGCCAAGTGTCAAGTGGTCGTTAAGGCCCTTTTCTAGCCTCTTCCTCTTAGTTTTGGCCCTCCCTATGCCCAAGGTGCAGTCCGTTATTTCTCGGACTTCAGTAATGGCCTTCCCATGCCCATGGGAGCCTCCTTTTACTCCTATATTTCTCCCACTTTGGTCCCTCCTACTTCGATTTTCTCCCGGAGGGCTATTTTTCACATGGGGGCTTATTTGACTTTATTTTCTTGAGGGAGACTGATCCGAGATTTTTCAGATTGCTCCCATGCCTCCCATTTCAGTTTTCCTTACTTTTCCTTTTCCTTTTGGCCTCCCCGTTTGTCACCACTAGTGCTTGCTTGCACTAGTGGTGCTAATATTTTTGGCCGTCAAGATGTTGATCTTGACGGTGCAGCTCACATTTATCATTTCCCCTCATGTGGTGTCGCCATTTCTTCTTGGGACTTTCACATGTCCCCGCCACTTGTCCCGTCGGTGGTCCCCGACACTTAGTCCCATCGGTGGTCCCTCGACACTTAGTCCCGTCGGCGGTCCTCGACACTTAGTCCCGTCGGTGGTCCCCGGCACATTTCGCCCCGGATGCCATTATTTTTACTTAGTCCCACGTGGCCCCGGGTGCCTTTCCCTGAGGTTTCCCATGCCCTTTGGGTGTCTTGTCGCCTCATAGCGACCCTTCTCCCTAGTCTTTCCTCGCGCCTTGTGCGCGCCGATCTCTTTTGGTCGTGGGCCTCTGCTCCGAGGCTCCCGTAGGTGGCCTCCATGTTGGCCCTTCATTTTTTGACTTCCCGCGGCCTCTGGGCCGCCCATCTCTTGGCTTCCTCATTCCCTTATTGCTGTCGCACTACAATTGCTCGTTCAAAGACCCCTTTGGCCTAAGTCTTATTGCATTCCGATGGCCCTCCCGGCCTCCTGCTATGTTCTACGTACCCCTGTTTTTTCGCTCGCTCGCTTGCCGCCATTTAGTTCTTTCCTCGTGTAGTTCTCGCCCCAGGGCATTACTCCCTCCTGCGGCCTATTCCTTTATCTCGTCTCACTCAGGATTTCTCTGTTGTGCACAGTTCGTCCATATTCAGTCTCTTAAGCGATGGAAAGTTGTTCGGGACTCACGAGTCCCGACACATTCCCCCCAGTCTTTCGCGATGTCCTCATCGCACACCAATCTCTTGTCAGTGAGTTTTAGAGGGATAGATGAGATGTTAGGGATGGTTAGTTTGCCAGGGTCCGTTTTGTTCTTTTCCCATTCCTTTCTCAAGGTTTTCCTTAGCTTCCGTCCTTTGGGGTGGAGGAGGGTATGGGGGAGTCAAAGGTTTTTCAGCTTAGACCAGGTTGCTCTTTTCCGTCATAGCTCTGCCTCTTTATCTTTCCCTCAATTGAGATGCAAACTTCCTCTTCAGTCAACTCTGTATACCCAACAGGGCAGCCCATAATTCTTTCAACTTCAGTAACCATGAAGCAGACGGGGCTTTCCTCGCTTCATGCACTTTACTACTGGTATGCTGGCTTTATTCCCAGGATGACAATTTGTTGTCATAACACAATTGGTTTTCTCATTTTGTGCCTTGGCTTTGTTGATAACAAATTGTAGACAAGTTTTCGGATGCGACTCAATGTCAGGCATTTGCTCCGGAAGGGGGATGTTCGTCCAGTACAACCACCGCCTTTGCTGTGGTGATACCCACTTCGAAACAGTGAGCCCAGGCACAACTCCCCTTAAGTGCTTCGTAATCTCAAATCTATCTTCCCATTTCATTGAGAAAACATTTTCGGGCAGAAACCATTTTGGTTTCGCCTCATTCATTACTCTTAGAGTCATAAAAAATAATCTTCTTTTCGGCCCGTGCAATCCATGTTCTCCCGCCATTCTTTCCTCAGTCTCATGCTTAGCCAGTTTCCATGTATTTTTCCCATGTCATTTTGCCCAGCTTATGTGTGTCGTCCTCATCCGTCCTTTCTCGTATCCAGGCTTAACAATGCGCGTTACTCAGTCCTCTTATTCACATCTTTCTTCTGACCTCTTGCCAGGCCTCTCTCATACTCATGCAAAGTCCATTATACCTGTATCTCTTTTTTAGGCGTCTTGCCAGACTTTTCCTTAGGTCTATGCAAAGCCAATTTCACATATCTTTCTTTTCTGAACATCCTGCCAAGCCTTCTCTCAAGCCCATGCCAGGTCAAATACTCATCCATTTCTTTCCTGGACATCCCGCCAGATCTCTTCTCAAGCCCATGCGGGGTCATTCACACATGTTTTCCTCAGCTGGACACCTTGCCAGACCTTTTCTCAAGCTCATGCAACATAAATTACTCATCCGTTTCTTTTCTGGACATCTTGCCAGGCCTTTTCTCGAGCTCATGCAACGTCAATTATTCATCCGTTTCTCTTCTGGACATCTTGCCAGGCCTTTTCTCAAACCTGCGCAAAGTCAATTACTCATCCATTCTTACGCTCATGGTATCCTTCTCTTTTGCACGCTTTTTCTTTCGTAGATGGCACACCTTCCCCTCACTCAAAATGCGATGTCCCCATCGCACGACTAGTTCTCACTCGGAGGTACGCAGACCTTGGCCCACCAACTGAGTAGACGGATGTCGGCCCATCAGCCCCAAAAAGGAAGGGTGATCAGTCCTCCCCCTGCTGATAACTCACCTCATCCCCTTTTGCTGCTTACGAGACGGGCGTCATCACTGAGGTACCACCCCACATCTGCCTCCTTCTTCCATTTCTGCCTTTTCTTTCCCTCCCTCACTGTCAGACGAGATTTTTATTCCTTCTCCTTCGCGGAGGGGTGAGGGTTTCCTACACAAGCATTTCCTTCCACCCCTGCCTAGCACTGGCTAACCCATGAGTCCTATGTACAACTTTCTCTTCGTTGCCCTCCTCCCTTGGGTTGGTCCTGCTTCCTCCCCTCCGGTAGGCCTGTTGACCGCCCCGCTGTCGTTCTCGTTGCCGAATTCCATTTTTTTTGTCTTTTCTTGCTTTTCTCCTAGGTCCTGTATAACAAAACAACACCCGCAATGCCCCGCATACGCACATTCCCCCCAGTCCGGTAAACAGCTCCCCTTTCCCAAAAAAATGCCCCTAGTATCCTTCGCATCATGCCCCTTTTATACATTTCCCTCCCTTATGCAAAAAGCGTTGTTTGTGAAGATCCCATTTTTTTCCCGTCAAAAACTATGGTACAATGCCCCAAACATCTCTTCCCGTCGTCGCACAAGCCAGATATTGCAAACCCCCAAGTCATGTTGCCTTTCACCCTCAGTCATTCCAAGCCATTGCCCCATAACCCCAAAAACGATAATCCCATGGACATGGTCAGAGACAAACCATAGTGTGGGCAAGGCTGTGGTCAGTCTTTAGCTTGTGGCCCCTCAGTTTCCTTATCTTCGGTATCCTGAAGCCATTGTTCCACTGGGTCCCGGCTTAAAAACTTGACCAATCGTTGCCCCAGGAAGGGCCCTTTCAATCCAGTTCCATCCAACTCTTCCAGTTCGAAGGTGTTCAGTCCCACCCGCTTGGCGACCCTGTAGGGGCCTTTGAACCTTCTTCCCAGCTGTCCCGACCAAGTAATCTCTAGTGCCGAGTTCCTTAGCAATACCATCTCTCCTACTTGAAGTGGCTCCTTTCTTACATTCTTAACCTGGTCCCACCTGACTTTGTCCCTCATTCCGCTATCTAGTACGCGGTTGACGATGTCTTCCATGACCTCCTCGTTCTTAAGGATCTGTTGACATCTTGCCTCGATTAACTCTTCAGTAGTCATTTGCGGATCATCATCTAGCCTATTCCAGGTAGGTACCAAGGCTTCCACGGGAAAATCGATCTCTCTTCTGTACCAAAGCTCTGCCCGGATACATCCTGTTGTCCTTTTAGGGGTCATATTCTCTGCAAAGACAGCCTGCTTAAGATACCTAGGCCAGTTCCCCAGATGGTCCGCTGCGAGCTTTGCAATCGTGTTCTTCAAGGTTCGGTGCCCCTTTTCCACAGGTGCATTGGCCTCAGGGTGATACGGCTCGATGAGTTTGATCGGTACGCAGAGTCTCTTAAGCATCCCCAATACTTCTTGGTTCACAAACTCCGTCCCATTCTCTGCTATAAACCTCTTGACGAAAGGATGCCTCAAGTAGAAGTCGTCTATCCAGTCCGCCACACTCCTCCCTGTCTTTTTCTTGAGGGTGACCGCCTCCACGAACCCACTCAAGTTGTCTCGCGCATGTAGAATATACCTGTACCCATCTGTTGATACGGGCATGACCGCAAGGTCGAGGTGGACCAGATGTCCCGGCCCTAGCACCCRCRTTGGTCTAAGCGGCTCGAAGACCCGCACCGAGCTTCGTTCTTGGCAAATAAGGCAAGTCTGGCAGTATATGGCGACCATGCCTGCCATGCCTGGCCAATAATAGAGTGGCGTCATCTTTGCAAGCGTTCCTTTGGACGACCGATGACCTCCA